CCCCAAAACCCCAAAACCCCAAAACCCCTCACAAATTTATATAAATTGATAAAATCTCAATGGAGATCGACGGTAAGGTTTCCCCTAAATTTCAGATATCACCAGTGAAAGCGCAGAGGGAGATAATGAGATCCTAGCAGAACTTAAGAAAGAACAAGAAGAAGAGGAGCAGAAAGATAAGAAACAAGGTATGACTTCAGAGGGGATCTTTAGAATTCAAACAACATGTCAGAGAAGTTGGCAAGGAGATCAACCAAAGAATCGAGAAACAGCATGAACTTTATAAAAAGTTCCTTGCTGAAGAGGAGATAGTGGCTGATAAATAACGTCAATATCCTTGATGAAATCCTTGGTATGCTACTACTTATCCATAGAATCATTGAAAGCATCACTTGATATCATAATGATGATGAAAAAGAAAGAAAAGGAAAGACTGATTGCTATCATTTACAACTGTAGTCTGATTATCTATGAAATCTGATTGCTATTAAAGAAGAATAATTATCCTAAAAAGGCAGCAAAATACTTAAATTTCAACCTGTACTGACTCAACAATAATCTGATGCTCAGGCAGACAGTTATATGGGAGAAGGAAGACATCGAGTCTCTCAGCAATGTGACTCTGAAAGTAAAGTTTATCATAAATTTAAATAGCCTGACAAAGTTCCAGACTTTATTTCGAATGAAGGATATCTTTTCTGGCGAATTAAGAACTACACTCAGCTTGCAAAATGATATGAAGATTTTGGAAATCTCAGAGGAGCTCTTGCAGTGTGTAAAAATGGAGTTCAGACTGTCCTTTTCTTCATGAAGATTGAAGAGCAAACTCCTCCCCTTCCAGAACATACTAAGGGTAATTTTCTTAGTAAAATGTATAGATGCTATTACTGAATGTGCACGGATTATGAAGACTCAAGGTATTTTAACATTCTCTGAAATTTCTTTTAGTCCTGAAATATCAAGTCCAATCAGGAGCAATTACTCCAACAGCATGGAAGAAAGGAGTTGAGCAGACTTTTTACAGCAACAAATATCACAGATCTCTCTGTGTAGTGGAGTCTTTGACTGTTGGTGATCCTGACCGGTTTAGCCCAATAAGTCAAAATTTAGAAGGTGTCGAATGGAAGAAAGAAGTTCTAATCTATGCAATTGAACTTGTTATAAGTACATTTTTAAGAGACCTAATCATTATAGAGGATATAGAAGTCGTCAAAGAAGCGTTGATTCAGAGAGACGAACTCAAGAGAGCAAAGAAGGAAAAGGAGCAGGTCCTCTTGAATGACCCAGATGTCAATGTGGAAGAGCTCATTGAAAGACACAGAGAAATGCAGGATCAGATGATTAAAGATGAAGACTGGAAGGCTGCAAGTTACAATGTTCCTCTTGATATACATATTCAAATAATCACTTTTTGATTTGAATGAAAATATTGGGATTTCTTCAATAATCTCCTTAGAAGTGCCTTGATCAGGCTAAAATTTAGAAGATATGAGGTACCTTATATTTCAACTATTGACGTTTTGATGTCATCTCTCAAAGATGCAGCTGTACCAGAGTCTTTTGAAAAGGTCAAATCAAAAGGTAAAGCTCATTTGAAATTTTAGATTTAAATTCTGCAAATCTAAAGATTGAGCTGAAGAAAATACGTAAACGAAAAGACAGAGAAAGGGATGAGATTCTGAACTATAACAACCCATTTGACCAAGAAGAGCAGAAAAAGTATGAGTTTTGTCTGATTTTAGAAATGAATCTTTTGATATTAACCCAAATTTTGCAACTGAAGAAGAGCTTCAAGAAATCAAACATATTTATGTAAACTTGTTACTCCAAAGGTCAAAGAATCCTAAAAACGCGATTGTAAATCTTGATGTCATCATGGTTGATGAAAATAATGACAACAGGATTCCTGATGATCATTATGCAGTAGCTGTTCCTATCAGACAGCATGAAGGAATTTATGAAAAATATCACACCATTCCATATATTCTGTTCAGAAGAACAAAGGATAATCTGAGAGATGATGAAGATTTATTAAACCTGATCACAGATGTGACTGTGATCACTGGTAAAAGTCCTGACATTCAGCCTCCTTTGGGGTATACAAAGATTCCTGTGGATCTTAGACAAACACCAGGGGAATTAATAGAAGTGGTAAATTTGGATTATGTATTTATTTGATACAAAACAGATAAAGACATAAATATTTATGAAAGAGATCTTATGCTAGTCAAATAAATTGTATGATCTTAATATCAGTATTCTTCAAATTGGCACACCTGAGTATGACTCTCTTCCAGGACCAAAGAAATATCTTGGTCTCACATATAATATGGATCTGCTGATGGATCTTTCTCGAAGAATCAGAGATTCTCTGACAGGTCCTATCGGAAGATTTTATTACTCCCAAAGAATTGATGAAATGAAAGAATTGGTTAACATTATTATCTTCCAATACATTCTCCCAGTCAGAAAGAAAATGGTAGAATTTTTAGAGCTGAAGGTTCAGAAGGAATTCTCCAACCAATTTGATGATGACATTGAAGAGTTGATATTAAAAACGAAGAATATATTCAAGGACATTATGACAGCAAGTTTTGAGCAATTCTTTATCCATTCAGGAAACTATCTCATCAAAAACTCAATCGCGATATGAATTTACTTCTGTAACCTCCTTGAGGAAGAAGGAGAATACAAAACAGCTATAAAATATCTAAAACTTACTCTTAAGACTATTATCAGAGAAAGAAATGAAAGACTGAAATAAGAAGAGTAGTTACTGTATTAATCCTTCCTCTCTTCTATTCCTTCACACTTCAGCCAGTAAGATTTGTTTCTAACCCATAGATAACGAGATCTATGAGTCCAAGAGAATCATTGACCAACACTACAAGATATGGGAAGATATCATCCTCAAAACTGAGAGAAACAAGAAGAGAGAAGAACTGAAAGAACACATTCTTGATGAGTTTGAGCTTGAACAAGAGTCTTATGAAATCACGCAGCTTGAAGAAATTAGGAAAAAGGACCTTGAGAGACTCCCTCTTTTCTATAACGGTCATAATTTACAAGACCATGAGCGGTAAGGATTTCAAGTTAATTTTAGACATAAATATGTATCGATATCTACTTACTCAAATAAAGATGACTATCTTAATGATTTACACCTTGAAGTACTGTGATGCTTGTATAAGTGAGAGCTCAAACAAGGCTTTAAACTCGCCAAATTTCATGAACAAACCATGAAGCTGCTAACAGTTCAAGGATTTCATGAACCTGAAGACCAACAGAAGCAACTAAACTCAACTTCGAATACAAAGCAGATGAACAGAAGTATCAGAAGCCTCAGAAGTACCAGAAGCTTCAAATAAAATGAAGAAAGAATTCAAAGAAATCCAAGAGGTTTATAAAGAAACTGGTAAAGTCCGTAAGTATTTCCAAATAATCAACCTAGCATTGTACTCCTCCCTGGTTTTTAACTACGAGAAGAGGATTTTGATTGAGAATTACAAGAACCCATACCAAAATTCCTTATTCTCTATGATTATGGCTATTTATAAGCCTGAGCAATTTGACCAGAGATCGTTACTCCTGGATAGCTTTAATACACTTATTAAACTGACTGAGTCCCAAGATACTAAGAATAGGATCACTGATGCTCAAGAGGATGACCAAGGAATATAAGCCTTGAGACTGAGAACCTAAAGGATAAAATATTTGAAAATGCAGTCATGTATAAAGCCATTGACTTGTTGTTAAATAGAGATGAGAAAACTCTTGATCAGATTTACCCCTTAAACCATATTTCGATGCTTAGGTATATTAAGAAAACTGAGGTTCCAACTGCTCCATTGATGGTTGGATATTCATCCAATACTCTAACTATGATTATTCCTTTCTTTAAACCTCTCATCGAAGACAAAACACTGAGAAATATCAACCTTCTTTCTTTGCTCTGCAGAGAAATTGAAGGAAAAGAGAAAGTAGAAATTGATGATAATGAATACGATGGATTAGAGGATCTGTATAAGTCTGGTCAAATAGCTACAGTTTCGAATCTTACTGCAAATAAAGTTTACAAGCTCACTTGTGCAGGATATACTGAAGAAGAGGAGCAAGTAAATGATATTGGAGAAGAAACTGGTGAAATAATACCATGACTCCCGCTCAATGTTAAAGTTTTAACTGCACATCTTGCTACAATCTGCTTCAAGCTGGGACACTATCAGATTGCTAAAAAGGCTTCTGAATATCTTCTTACTCAGTACCTTGAGAAGAATAAACTCCCTTATAGACAGCTAGATGTTACAACCTCGACTCTATTTACCTTTAGGTTGAATTATTCTTGAATAAATCATGCAACCCCCACTACAGTAAAATCTCTAATAAATTGCTTCTTGATTCTTTCTGATGTCTCAAAGATCCAGAAGAGCCAAGAAAAGCCAGCAGAAGATCGTCTGAGAGAAAATAAATTGAGGAAGCAGACTTCAGGCTTGAAGATAATAAACTTTCTGATGCTAGCATTAGAACTTTCTATAATTCTCAAAGATTTCCCTGTCATAAAGAGGCTGATCTACGAAATTTATGATAATTTGAGGCCTTATCTCACATTTGATAGATTACCACCCTTAATTTTCTATTGTTTACTCTATTGCCACCAATCCATAACTCTGCTACCAAAGAGCTGTGTTGATAGCCCAACAAGAAGGATTGGCTCTATTATTGGATATAACCTCTGCAAGCCTTATTTAGTAAGAATGGGTCAGGAGAAACTTCCTTTCATGTACCTCATCCTTGATGCCCAGTCAAAGATAGACCTCAGAAAATGGAGAATTCATAGTAAAATGATCACCAAAGCTGACCCTCTCACTAATGAAATGAGAGCTAAGAGAGAAGAACAACTTGAAATGATCAAGAAAGGAGGGGATATTTTCTACCTTGAAGATGACGAGATTATTAAGGTAAGATTGCTTTTAAGATTTTTAGGAACCCGAACCTTATGAAGCCCTAGAAAGTTATATTGCTGAAACTGAGAAAGAAGGCAAAGCGTATGATGAATTCCTTGAAATTTTCAATCTCATTGTTCAAAAAGAATCAGAAAATGAATTTGTAAGAGTAGTTGCTTTAATTACTTTAGCAAGGATACATTAAAAAGGTTCCTACTCAGACCACATTTGTTGAGCAACGTATCAGAAAGTATGAAGAAATGCTAAAAAGTTTTACTCTCCAAATAACAGGTGGGAAAGATATCATTCCAAAAATGATTAAAGAGATGCAAATAGTAACTTCCTTTTGGAAAATAATGGCTGATGATCCAAAGCTAATAGTTAACAATATTCGATTTATTAACCATCCTAATTTCCTCAAGTTCAACTGTATTGCTCTTCGTCGAATTGCTGAATCACAGATGGTCTCTCTGCTAGATTATCGCCAGTTAATAAACCACATCAATATGGATGAAGATATTATTAACACTGCGCAGACATGGGCATTTGAAAGAAAAGAACTCCTTGCTAAAGACATCGTCCGTCAAAGGAAAAAGTAACATATTTTGTAATTTTTAGGCGAATTCTTGAGAAATTTGGAAATACAGAGAATGGGATTGAAGGATTTGAACAACAGAAGCAGCTTCACCAAGAAATAGGACAAAGTAAAAGGAGTAAAGAAGAATTTTTCCAAATTGACAAGCAGCATTTTCCTTATTGATCCATGGTAGCTGAACTAGAATTCCTTCGAGGCTCTAATGAGACCAAGATACTGAAGCAGAATTATCTTTATATTAAAGAGTTTGGAGAATCCAACTCTCCAATGACCTTATTAATTGACTTACAAGAGATGGTAATTCTGGCTAAAAATCATCGGGAGTTCTTGCTAAATGAAAAATTAAGGATTAGAAAAGAACAGAGGAAATATAACATAGATAGTCGGTCAGCCAGATCTCATGACAAAGATTTAATCATGAGAGAAGATGATTTTCAAGCTGATGAGATCATAATTGTTCCTATTGACCCGCTAACCGAAGATATTTCAATTGTTCTTGAAATTTACTGTAGAGCTGGCCAGTTTGCCATTGTATCCCAAAATTGGAACCAGTTCGATAATATATTAAGAGGAGCTTGGAATTTGATGGCATATCATCTTTCATCTCCTTTTGGATTTGAACGAACAACCGCATACCAGGATATCTATTTACTTGCAGATCAATTGATCCACTATTTGAACCATTTCACTGATATAAAGGCTCCTCCAACTGAGGAAGGTAAGTTATAGAAATGATGTAGTAGAGGAAATTAATATTGAGAAGAACTTCACTCCAAAATTCACTAATAACGAAAAGCTAATTATTCCTGATACTCCGTTCGATAATCTTGAAGGAAGAGATATGAGAATTTATGGAAACTTTATAGCATTCACAGTGCAATGTCTCTTTGTCAGTGAGAAATGGGAGTCAATTATCGACTTGATCTCAAGATTTACAGAAGCAATTTCAATGTTTCCTCCCATTGACCCTGAATTCATAAGCTTTCTAAAAATATACCTTTTCAAGTACATAGTGTATTCTGTTGACAAGTTATACCAGGTTGCTTGAGCGAAGTCCAAGGATAAAAGAGATGAACTGAAATTGAGGACCCAACAGTTGAACACTTATTCTGAGAAGAAGTCAGACTCTTCAAAAGCTATTAACATGGGTATTTATTTTAAATAATTTTATAGAACGAACAGCAGCTCAATTGCTACAGAATAGGAGAGATGCTACAGGAGGTCTTCTGCCTGATGAAATTGAGCTGAAAAGAGATAAAGGCCAACTTGAAAGTGAGCTTGCTCGACTAGAAGCTTTTGAAAATTTCCTATACCTTGAAAAAGAGCAATATGAACAAAGTTTAAAGAGGTGAGACTTTTCTTATATATAATCTTAACTATTCACATAGCATGCAAGATAAATATAGTCCGATTAAAGAGCAATTGAGGTATGACCAAGATATAACTGACTCTAGAGTAAACCGGCTTCTTTACAGGAAGTTCTCAAGTGAAACCTTCAACTTAGAAGAAAAACAAAGACGACAGCCAGAAGCTACAGTTCTAAAGGCAAGTTTTAAGGCACATGAGGCCTTATCTGGCCTTGTAATTAGCAATTACTCAAATTTAATTGAGACTGCAAAATCAGAGAAGGATAATTATGCAGTTATACAATGCTATAATGAAATTGGAAACCTGTACCATTCTGTAGGAAATGAAGAGGAAGCTGCTAAAAACTGGAAAGGAGCTATCCAAATCTTTTCTGAAGAACTCAAGGAAACTGAAGTTTACCTTGCTGAGAAAATTGGAATTCAGCAATGTCTACTTCTTGGAATTATATCTTCAAAGTTATCTCGGATATGCTACAGTAATAAGATTCTTAATGAAGGAGAAACATATATAGGAAATGGGATTGACATATACACCAGTATTTCTACAAAATGATTTATTGCCTGTTTTTCATTATCCCTTCCTCATCCTCAAAAACTGATAGACTACAGGAATTATAGAATGACTGAGTTCATTAAGAAGATAGAAATAATTGAGGATAACCAAGCATTCACTTATAATGAACTAATCTTTGCTCTTGAGATAACATGAGATGTGTTGATAGACCATGATGCATACACTCAAGTGCTGCCTTTACTCTGACTTATGGAGCACATCTCAGTAGATATTATAAAATCAGTCCCCAATATGATCAAATCAAGGATCATGAAATCTATAGCTCTTGCAGAACTTGGATATATAAATGAAAGTCTTCAGTTAGTATTCAAAATCATTGAGGAAAAAGATACCCCTCTTGATTGTAAGTTACATTAATTCACTCTCTAGCATCGCAAAAAGATAGTGAGTATAACAAGCAGTTACAGGGTCAATTCTTTCAGTTCACAGACAAGAAGTACTTCTTCAAGAATGATCAGGCACCTGAAGAAATAGGCAATAAGAAGGTTATTGTTTTATTGCTTAACTTAGAAATGAAAATCTCTGAGAAATACAAAGTTTCGGCATTCCTAGAACAATACTTTAGATATTGCAGATGCATTATTCTACAAAGTATTCTCTCGAAAGTTCCTTTCAGAGAGAATGAGACTGCAGAAGTGCATATCATGTACTCAAAGATACAGAATGAAATCCTATCACTCCTTGGAATTCTTGACAAGGAAGAGCTAGTCCATGATTGTATTGGAAAGATTTCGATGTATTATGATGTTTTTAATAAAGGAATCGACTATTTTCCAGGTATCCTCTATTTCTAAATCCTTATAGAAACGAAAGGGATGACTCATAAGCAAGAAGAATATATCAAAGATCTTCAATCCCAACTTGCAAAAATTCTTAGCACAAATTCAGAAGGTCAAATCATACTTGATGATGCTTCTAAAAGTGTGTTTTTGTATCATGATGAGCATAAGCCTCTCCAATATAGGCGTTCTGAAAGGCTAGCACTGATGCTGAAATCTAGAATGCTTCTATCAAAAGTTTATCACAACATTACCCTACTTAAAGCATACTATATCCTTGACCAAGGGTTGATGAACTTCCACTTCTACTGTATAGGAAGGTTAAATTCAGAGAAGTGCAATTTGTACCAAAAGAAAGGGTTTGAAATTCCTTCTCATCTAGGAAGTAGGATCTTTGAGATTCATGAAAAGACCCTAACTAAGAAAGATCCACAAAATCCTCTGATCAGTGATGAAATGCTTGAGATTATACAAAGAACAATCCTTCAAAAGAAATGAAGTGTGCCTTATGCTTATATTTGGGTCAAGGCAAAATATGAGCTTATTAAAATCCTCTTTCTTCAAGAGAGATATGATGAAGTCATGATCTTCTGAGATAATGCTAAATCGGAGTGTAATGATCTTGGAGATACTTACTACACAAGACTCTTAGACCAGCTCTTAGTCATATGAGCATTCCAAAGAGGGTATTATAAGCGAGGGTTAGAGATGTTTAATGACCTTCAAAATTATGCAGAAGCCCATCTCCACAAAGACCTAGAGCTGGCTATTTTTAAAGCGAATATTGGGGAAATTATCTATCATTATGACCAAGATTCTATGTGTATAGATTTATTCAAACAATCAAGGGAAATAATGAGTGAATATCTTCATAAAATTGGGTACAGGACTGAGAAAATATCGGATTACCCCTCTGATGTTAACATAAACACCAAAGATCCTAAATTCATGAAGCCAGATGTTTATAACAAAAGAGACCGGAAATATCGGCATCTTAAAGAAGAGTTGGGTAAAATACAACAAAGAAAAACTCTAGAGAAGCCTAAGTTTTCTGATGTATTAGACTTCAGAAAGGAAATATTCTATGAATTATTTTATGAAGACAAGATGGATTTCCTCCCAGCACTGAACAATTCAATTTATCTTTGAAACCTTGGCACATTGATAAAAGTTGAACTAAGGTATGCACATACATTGTGAATTATTAAGCAGAAGTATGAGGAAACATTAGAGATCTTGAAATATACAGAACGGATGATTGAAGATTGTGTCTATCCGAACCCCTACAATTCTTATATAACAAACTTCCTCAAAGGATACTGTCACAAGATGATCTTTTACTCAAAATTAGGGAGTTTCCAATCCAAGATCTTGGAACTATCAAGGACGAAGATTAATAAAGTCTACAGTGATTTTGCAAGAGATCTTCCTGCCTCAGGAATAGCTACAGGGGCAATGTTCGCAGCAATTCCTAACTATCGTAAACATATCAAACATGAATGGAGAAGGTATCTTCTCGATGCTGAGAAATTTCTTCTCAAAGCAGTTGAATTCACAAAAACAGAGTGTATTTTAGGAGAATTTGATATTGATATGTCAGATTCGGTATTCAATCTCTCAGAAGTGTATTTCCTCCTTTTTGAATATGCAGAAGATCGTATTGGTAAGGTATTAGTGATACTTTAGATTTCATGTTCATTGATTACCCTAATTTATGAGTCAATGTACCACCAGAGAAAAGACATGAAGGACCTTTAGAGGATTGCAACTGTGAATTTTGTAGATCTAAAATCCCATTTTCAAAAAGTATTGCAGAGACTCAACTTGAGTCGTATAATTATCATCTAAAAGCAATGGAGTATTCGCTATATGGAAGAAAAATGCTAAGTAAGGTTAATAAAAATTATTATCAGGGGCCAAGAATATCCTTCTGGATGGAAATTTCAACACAGGGAATATATCAACTATCCAGCTTAGAGACATCCCTGATGACATTCTTTATGAACTCTTTGAAACCCAAAAGTTTCACCAAATAAAGTTCATGTCTTCCTTACCAGAAGAAATGGATCCTGAGGAGAAGATCACTTATAAGTAATTCTTTCTTAATCAGGTAGTTTTTCACAAGCTAAAATACATGAGAATAACCCAGATGTTATAATCTCCGAAAAAGATTCTATTTATAACTCCTATTGAGAGACTTATCTCTGATTGATATTATCTGAGCTCAGATATTTCACCTTTGGAGCAGAAAGGAAATCGAAGAACATCTCTGTTCTCCATTCAATTCTCTCAAAACATGAGAGTACGACCGTTTTTAATAAGATTTATAGATTCTGAAGCAGCAATCTCCTATTCCCAAGATTGAAGAGTTGCATTCCCTCAACCTGAGCTCGTAAACCTCTTGGCTAACGTATAGGCTGAAAAATCTTTGTCAGATGATGAAATAGAGATCTACCTGAAATGAAAGGAAACTCCATGGCTTGAATTTACCTCTAAACATAGTGATTTTATCTATGTTCTTCAAAAATCGCCCCACTTGGCTAGAAGTCTTGAAGATCCAATCTAAATTTCAATTCTGCAATCCTGTATAGGGGTTTTGGGGTTTTGGGGTTTTGGGGTTTTGGGG